AAGGTAACTTGAATTCCGAATATCTGCTTAGCAAAAAGTAATTAAACACTTTATCAAATGACATTTAAGATCTTTGAACTTCCGATGTATCACATAAGAAAAAAAATATATATATATACATATATAATTGTTTGATTTCTCTCATATATTGTAGATTCTAAAGAAAGTATGAAAAGTGTGAACGAGGAAAGAAAAAGATTTATTCAAAGTATTGACCATTGCTTTTTATATTTTGACCACTTTCTGGCAATTTGTGGATACCATGCTAATAGAATGTTTGATTTCTAAATTATTTTTCATCGACAATTTTATCTAAAATGATTTTTTCTTTCTTTGAAGCAAAATTTCACATTGCTTTTTCGGTTTTCCATTTGTCTTTATCCAATTCTTGTGGCACCCATTTTCCACACTTTTGAGAATACATTGTTGTCTTAAACAATAACTAGTGTCTAATTTCTTGAAGATTACCTCGTCAAATAAAAAGTTTTCCTGCAAGCACTTCAGTCATCCATCCTTATTCTCCTATATCTTTTCCCGTACGTAAAAAATATACTAAGAGGTCAACGTTTTTTGCATACCTGTATGGTTGGTGCGTTCAGAAGGCATGTTTTGGTGATACCTCAATTAGAGTGGCAAAATTGCTTCGACAATATTCGAACGTATGAAAAGCATGAAGCTATTTTTAAGCAAATTATGCAGTTTTACTTCCAAATACTAATTACCATGCATACATACTAACAATATGCTTATAGCGACGTTTATCACTTGCGCCTAATTCCATATTGATTGCGAAAAAGTTCGAAATTTCAAATTGCCAACTTGCACAATTATCCCTAAAGCATGCAACAATAATGGATGAAAATTATAAAACAAACACAGAAACGAATCAGGAGAAAAGTGATTTACCAAAATGCTTTAGCGTGTCTATGCGGTTGATGGGTACGAACTTAAAATTGGAGAAACCGAAAAAATTATACCAACAATTTCGCACACATTGTAGCATTTCAAACTCGTTTGTGCACCGCTTGCTGTTGTTGCTTTTCTTTTACTTAGCTGATGTTGTTATCTATAGCATTCTAACTGAAAGGCTTGTACTGTGATTTGCACTTGTTGCATGCGGTCATTTGTTTGTATATATTGTCTATTCTCATGTATTAGGGTAGAACTCAATTAATTATTATGTGTTTATGAACAAAAATATTTTTTTAATTCAACAGCACACATCTCTTCAAACTTCAATAAATTCAATTTTTAAAATTACATTTATTTTATTTGACCAAAAATAATAATGAACGAAATAAGAAGAAAATATGTGCATACAGACAGAGTTATAAACCACTGAAAATTTTTTTATAAAAATCACATATATAATAAAATTTTTTTATTTGCCAATAAAACAGCTGACCCTAATGCTCTCGCATGCGCTATACAATGCCTATACATATATGTATATGTATCTGCATATGTTTCAAACTTTTCTGCGCTACATTCAGTGGTTTAGCTTTTGATTAGCCCCAAATGATTTATTATGCTAGACAATTTATGTCAAGGCGAAATGGATTTCTCTTGTAATTATATTTTCGTTGACCAAATGAGCAAATAAAACAGTGGAAAATAGAAAAGTGGAATTGAGCAAAGATGAATTTACGTTCGTGTGGCAGAAAGGAATAAAAATTTCGATTTAGGTTAGATTGTTTTCAAATTTTGAGCAAGATATTGCTAGAAAATATATGTTGGTGTTCTTTTTATGTGCCGTGTTTCATAATTCAAATACATTCTGCAATATATTGTACTGTTCATAGTAATGAAGAACCCTTGGTAGTTCATTGTACAGTAAGACAAACTCACATATAATAGGGTATGCACGAGATGGGCCTTCGATGGAATGGGAAAACGACTTTATTTTTCTTTTCATGAACCTGCTTTACTTGGACGAGGCTTTGTTATTTATTATATCAAAATAGTTTGGGAATAGCAAACTAATAGATGAGGGTTGATAAGTGTTAGAGTAAATATATAAAATAAAAGTAGTATGAAGCCCATTGGAAGAGGAAGTAAATATGTATTAAAAACGGAAATGAAAATAATTTACTGTCGCACTAAGTTCAGAAGTAGGTGTTGAGTTTTTGAGGGTAAAAAATGTTTTATTTTGATTTTCGTAGAGTTATAGATACTATTATAATAGCAGAGTTGTACGTAATACAAAAAGCTTCAAGTTTGGTATTGCCACTTCAACTACAAACTTAAAATTTATATAATAATTATAAAGATATCATATATGTATTAGGGTGGAACGAAAAAAGTTTTTGAGTGCTTAGCCTGGGGGTAAATCTTTAGATTTCGATTTTGTGTTTTTTGCATTTTACAGACACATGCAAAGGAGCGTCGTGCCAGGTTCATTTTACTTTGCTTAATTGAGCCATCATTTGTTCGCGAATTACCTGAAATATTAGGAGCGCAAGAGACATATGGAATCATTTTGCTTTTCGTTTTCGAAGGCGAAGAAGTGCATCATGCTCACATACACCGTAAAATTACTTTCGCCTAATATATCTGCTAACTTTGCCATATACTTTTCGATATTGGCATATTGCTTATACAAAAAAAATTTTAAAGTTCAAGTTACGTTATCATTTGAAATCCGTTAGTATTATTATTTTTATTTTTTTTTTTTTGATACATGATGAAACAAAGCGATAATGATGGGAAGTCGTTGTTGTATAATTGTTGTTATTCCCAAACTAATATTCCTCTGCAATGAAAGTAGGGTAGGTAGGTTGGTTCTTAATTTCGTTTTGTTTAAAACTTTTATAGTTCATTATGTGACTACTCGTTCGAAAATTACAAATGTGATTTGTTGGAAAATTACTATACTTGTAGACAGATTTCACTTCTTGGTATGAATTTAGTAATGCGAATAAAGCAAAGTATTCTATCCTAATGCTATTGATACATCTATCCTCTATCCTCATGTATAGTTTAGTGTCAATCAAAGAGATTGCAAACTTATACAATATTAGGTTAATAGGCGCTAAAAAAAGATCTAAGGCGATATTATACTTAAACGACTTTAATACATTGACACGAAAATTAATTAAAGTAACTTATATATTGATCAATATGTATGGTAAAAACTCAATGTTTTTATACCAATTTCAAAATAAGAGTATGTTGGGCTATGTTTTAGTAGGTTGTAAAAAATTTGCCCTAGTGGGCGGGATCACGCCCACTTTACAAGTGTTTTAAATTCATACCAGTTTTTAACTGCTGTAGTTTACACTGCCAAAGCTGAACTTCTGTAGCGTAGTTAGTCACCCTCTCTTTGGTCCGTCATGGTCCATCAGCAAAATACCAACCTCCTCAGAGTGTAAAAAAAAAAAACTTGTGCGGAGTATAGTCTACGGTCAAACATTCGGACGGACAAAATTAGGAGTTTTCCGATTTATAATAATGTTTTCATTGAGTTGTTAAATTCAAAAAAAAATAAAAATAAAAAATTTTTGCCTTAAATAATCAAACTTTAATCGTCAATATTTTTTAAATGGTACGGTTTACCTTTTTGAAGATCATTCAATTTCCTACAAAATCTATAAAACTAGATATTTTTTCAAGTAGTTGAAAGAGAGATTTGAATGTTTCTATTTGATATTAAGAAAAAAATAAAAAACTGTAAGGCGGAGGACCTTCCCGTTACAATTAAGAGCTCATACATTAAGACCAGAAAGTTTCCGGAGATTGTAACTAAAACGAAAAGTTTTTAATCTTCATCCATAATTATTTTTTCGCCTTCAAAATATGCTCCTTCTGAAGCGATACACATATGCCACTCTTTTTCTAATCATCGAAACATGCCTTATAGGTCGGGGTCCGAGATCGGCTTCAGTTCCCTCTGTGAATTTTCTTTTACGGCCTCAATCGAGTCGAAACGGGTTCCACGGAGTGGTAACTTGAATTTTGGAAACAAAAAAAAAAAAACAAATCGCATGGTGCCAAATACGAAGTTATACTCTGTAGCAACATGTTGTACCATGAAGCCAGAAAATTTCCAGAAATTGTTTTTTTCGATATTCGCGATTTGGTTCATCATGAATTCGTTTCAACGGGCCAGACGGTCAATAAAAAGTATTATTTCAGCGTTTACGCGAAAACAACCGTCGTAAACGGACGGAATTGTGGGCCAACAATTTCCGGAAACTTTCTGGTCACACTGATGTGTTTGTAGTCACTTTTTTAGAGGTGTCTAAGAACCTATTTTTCAGAATACTTAGTAAAAAATATCGTTTTATGACCCACCCTAGTATATTTATATAATTCTGTATCAAATAGCTGTTTGGTGAACAAAATTATTTCACTCAATGTAAACTGTTGCGAGAGTTTAAATATATTGTAACTAGCTCAAAGTAGTTGATTACGTTGGCGGTCTAATCAGCATATATGTTAATGACAAAAATACATATGCATACATACATATGTATGTAGATGTGCGACAACTGATAAGCATTGATTCATGAATATATTTACAGGGCATCGTGTGTCTGAGAATGAGAGCAGAGAGAGTGATGGAAATGTACTTGTATATGCATTAGGGTAAAACCTTGCATGTACTACACTCTGTCAAAAAATTTAATCACTGAGAAACTTTATTAAATATTAAATATAGTTTTAATAAGAAGTGTTTATTCGTAGAAAATCTATACAAAACGAAATTCACATATGGTACAATAGAAAATACATATATAATATGTATATTTCAAAAACAATTTTCTAGAGCTGATTTTTTTGCACAAAAATTTAATCGTAAAATAAATTTAAAAGAAAAATAATAATAATATCACTAGCTTTTTAGAAGAACTTTGAAAAACAATTTTTTTTAATCATCTTGATATACTTGTAGTTCCTTAGTTTGATGGCAAGATTCGAAAAGTACTCACTTAAAGAAAAGTTAAGTTTTATAATATATATTTTAATTCTGTAGAAAAATTAAAAAAAATTTATTTCAGTCTTGCTGAGCGCCCTTTTGACTTGGCGTGTGCCACATGCTCACACAGAGCATTAAAAAATAAATTGATTAATTGCAAAATAAAAATAGTTTAAGATTCATATTATATATAACAAATATATTTATAACCAGTTTTTTTTTTTTTTTGTGTTTAGGCGACTAAAAGAAGTGCAGAGCACTGATGCCAAGCAGTCTCCTATTTGCGTATTATTTGAGCTTCTGTCGTGCCGAAGCCGCAGTCGCATTTTAACATTTGCGAAAACACAGCGTACGAAGCGCAGGCGAGACAATTCTAAAGCTAAATATAAACTGTGATTGAACTATATTACTTTGGAAACACATTGGATTAATTCAAGTTCAACCAAAATGTACTACATGGGATTAGATTGCGTTTGAAATTAGTCACGAACTGCAAGTGAAGTGTGAAAGAAAAACAATTGTTTGGAATAATAAAAGACACTTAAAGCTTGCATACAAGATGTCACGTGGGTCACATTTGTCGGGTACTCTGCATTGTTGCTGCTATAAGTTGTTTTTGCTCTTATGTGCTGCTAGTGCATGGCCCGCTACAGTGGCGAGCCCGCCTTATCGCTGTATGTATATAAATGTTATGTTTTTGTCTTACATTGCAGACGATATACATATATGTATATGTATGTGTGTACATACAATTTTGTTGAATTGAAAACGCATTTATACAAAAATATTTACAATTTGATGTAAATTTTAAAAGTATTCTCATATATAAATAATGCAAAGATTTTGTCTATAAAACATACATATACTCATATGTGTGTATATATATACATATAAACGAGTATATGCTTATGAATAATTTATATTTGTACAATAATTGCGTCTTAAATTAAAGTCTTACTAAAGCAAACATTCTTCCAGCGTACGGCCAATGCACTGATGCCGAAACCGGACGCGAACTCTACATCGGCGAGTCCTTCACACGTCCGGGCCAATGTATACGCGTGCAGTGCTTGGGCACACTGCAGCTGTGGGAGGATAGGTATCTGCTTTTTCGCTGAATATTTTAGACAGTCTGTAAAGTTAAGCTAATAAAATTTTTTTTTTTTTGTATAGTTGTGAAGTACCGAAATTAGAGGGTAATTGCAGTCCCGTACCGCCAGGCAATGAATTTCTCAACTATCCATATTGTTGTCCACTGTTCGTGTGCAGAAAGATTGCCGTTAGCGAAAAGGATCGAAGAGAAGAGATACGTACATACAATCAGTATGGCACTATGATTAAACAAGACATACAGCAAGTTTTCAGTGTTGGCCCAGTCAAGGGAAATGTGCCGGGCGCTGGCGTGATTACGCAATTTGAAATTTAACTGCCCAAACTATTTGGCAATTTTTGTATTTTTAGTCGATTTCTATGACGATTACAATAAGGAATTATTAATAAATGAAAAAGAAAGGTACTAAAGGAAATAAAAGTGATTTATTCACGTCCGTGAAAGAGAAGCATATTAAATAGTTTCCAATTTTTTTTTGAATGTTGGTATTACAAAATATGGAATTAATTGCCTAAATTAGTAAATATTGTTGTGGTTTGAAGCAGCAAAGCTAGTTGAGCAATCAAAGTAACAGTGACCGCCATTGTAGTGCGGTAAGAAGTGTATCTCTAGAAGCTAAGTTCGCCCCCGATTTTATTTGACATCAAAAATATATTTTTCGAACTAAGGAGATTACCTAGACGTACCTCAGCAAAATATTACAGAAAGAAAAGCTTTGAATTCTTATACATAAATATAGTTCAACGTACAAATTGTCCAAAAATATTCAAAATAAAAGTAGCTTACTTAAACAACTGCGATATGTAGATACACTTAGTCGAATGGAGAATTGCAACAAATACGGATAAGATATACTCCTCTTATGATTGTTATGCTGGTTATATGTATATATTATATTATATTAAGTTTTCGAATAAGGTAGAATATGAACAGTGTAACTGTGAGTGTCCGGAGAGTATTTTGTTTTCAAACACTTGAAGAACAGCCGACCAGATATTAATTTAATTTGTAATGATGTTCAATAACATATTTATATTTGTATATAAACTCAGTACTTGTAGTCGGTTCTAACTAATCGTAAAAAGTTTGACACTACTAATATTTGAAGGAATTTTTTTACATCTTTCTTAATTCTATTAGAGTTTGGGAATACTCGTTTTTTTTGTATTGATTTTTTTTAAGAAATGATGTAGTTTTAGTGGTTTACAGTAATTTTCACTTCACTTACCTAAATTTTATATAAAATTGCATAAGAACATACAAGGTGTACATATATACATATATGGTATATCTGCTAGCAACATATTTATATATAATATGTAAGCTACTTTTTTCAAAAACAAATTTGCGCAAATATATGCAGGCATCTGATTGTATTGTATGAAGGAGAAACTTTTTCAGGCAATTATAAACACTTACCGCCCGAAAAGCAGAAGGCACCCAGCAGAGCATGGTCTTCCGACTGAGTTATAACAACAAAACTAATAAGTATTGTAAATTGTAATTTCATATTTGTAATATATTTTTAATGGGTTATAAAAGGTTATTATCATAAGATACAAAATTTGCCTTAAAATAATAAAACTTTAACCGTTAATATCTTTTAAACGGTTAGATTTACGAAAAAATCGTAAGTCAATTTCCTACAAAATCTATGAAACGGGATATTTTTTCAAGTAGTTAGAAGCGAGATTTAAATTATTCAATCTCTTATTAAGAGAAAATAGAAAACTGTAAGGCGAAGAACCTTACCGTTACAATTAAGAGCTCATACTTGAATATACTTGCTAAGAAATGTCTAAGAACCTAGTTTTTAGAGTACCAAGCGCAAAAACCCTAATATATATATTTATGAAATTACATAAAATTATATAGAATTATTATTATAATTTTTGCAATAAAACTACTTTGCCACCACTCATATAGTTTCCTACAGGGCCACTACTGTGCGAAAATTATTTATGCATACCTACATATGCGCATACCTTTGAATGACTTTCTTCTCACTTTTATGTACACTCATAACTACACAGCTACCATAAAAACTTCGCATTTCCATTCCATGCCTACACATGCAATTATTCCGGATGTTTTTTTTTATTTTTATTGAAGTTCGCAGCAATACGCACGAGTTGTTTGTGTGAAATTTCTCTTCGAAACTTTACTGTACCTCTTGAAAAGTTCATATTACATTCCTGTAATTAATAAAGCCGCTGCTGATATGAATTTTCTAAGTGTTGCTAAAACTTTAAATTTTTGCTGTAGTTAACTACTTTTGCAACACTCTCAGCATTGCATTGTTCACCTCAAGTGCACATATTTCTGTAGTGTAAGTTTTTGTGGCGTGGTTTCTTGGAACTTGGTAAAAAGCCGGTATGAGAGAGAAGAAATAAACGTGTATATGACGAGTGTAATTTTCTTCTGACAAGTGTAGGATATGCTATTTGATTGCCCCCTGCAGCTCCAGGTAGGTCATGTCGTACTTCTTTTGATTTACAATTTGCTTTTATAAAGCATTAGATTGTTTCAATTATTGTTCCCAACAGAAATGCGAGTTTATTAAAAGGGTTAAGTTAAGAATTTGCTTAATTTTAGCGACACTTTCTTGAACTATTTAATTCGAATGTTCGTCGTAGCTTTTCAGATAGAGTTCCGCAGTTGTAAAAAAATGTATCCCAATTTTTAAAATAAACTAATTAATTTTTTCGAGACATACTTTTCTGCATGTACATTGGCTTTTGTAATTTTTTAAAATATTTTTTAGGTTATAATTAAAATTCACTTGGGGTGACCTATGGTTTATGGCATCGTATGTAAAGTGCTTCTAAAAAACTTTTTAAGTCTTCTAGTCGCTGAAAAAATTTCCGAAACTTTCATTTGAGAGCAGCTATGTAAAACATCAATGAGTGTCCTATGATAATATAATATTTAAGGTACAAATTCCTAGTGTTGACCCATACTATATCACTCAGTTACTAATTTTCTAAACGTAGAAGTATTGTGGTTTGCCCTAATCGCAATGCCCTAGTGGTTCCAGCAATTATATTGTCTTTACATAATCTCATGCAGTGTGACCTCACAAGAAAGCGCGTGCCGTCTGTTAAACCTACAAGCTCGATCTGAAAGGCAAAATTATTATCATTGGGTCTGAAATTATCTTCCATGCAATTGTTTGCGTAAAATCATCACACATGAATATTTATCGAAAAGCGTTTGCGTTTATAATCAGCTTTTATTTGAAGTAGAACTTACAGCACCAGGCAACAGGCCATCTTAAACGTTTATAATAGTTTGTGTATTGTAGACGTTTAAGGTGTCACTTTTTTATTAGTGCTTTCCACCAAACCAATACTTCGAAGAGTTATATATATATTTATATATAGTTATATTAAATAATCTTCAACTCAATTTATCTTTAATGCATATACAACCGGCCTTGTTATGCCTTATTTGAAATAGCTATTGAACCATAAAACTGTGTAGCCAACAAAAAATTCTTGTTTCTCTTACTTATTTCAGCTTCATGTCATTTCAAAGAATTCCATTCCTTCAAGTTTTTCGTTGTCAATTATGAACATTTTATAATGCGGAGTGGGCATTGATCCGCGTGGCATTAGTGGCAAGTGTTGCTACTAATTTACGGCTCATTGATTTTCTCATGCAATACTTGATGTTTTAATTTTTTTATAATAAGAGATTTTAATAATTTTTACAATTTTTTAACATAATATTTTAGTGTTAGCTTCAATCTGTGATATTTTTTTGTGCGGTATTTAGATATAACATTTTTCATCGAAAATATATATTGGCAAGTCAAAAGTATTGAATTTCAACTTTATTAAGTTGTCACAAGCTTAGCAACTTCCTTTAACATAAGTGAGGTTAAGCAGTGCTGGATTCAATACATGGCTGCTGATAATGAGTGTGTTATATCGAGCGTTAATGAATGAAATGTTTTTAATTAATTCATTCTAATTTTAGCCTGTTTTATCTTAAATTCTGATGAGATAAATTACATCTTCAATTATTCTAAGACATATGTATTTCATGGTCTATGACGAAGAAAAAATATTCCCTCTCTTACGAAGCTTATTTACAAAATGAAAAATAAAATAATGACATTTTCGAAACTGAGTGGTATTTACTCTGGAATACTGTATTTATAGTTACATACAAGTAATTTATATTGTGTGACCTTAATTTCTAAGGTAAGCGCAATTAAGCTAAACCAGTAACTACAGTTCTTGAAGTACTCTTCTTCAGTATATTAGTTAACGGTATAATCAAATGGTAGTGCTACAAATTAAATAAAGTTACATCGTAACGAAAAATAGATAATTTATCCTACAGCATAATTGCGATTTGTTAATTTTAATCGGGTTGCATTCTAAATGTAAATGCTGTCAGAGTTGAGATAAAAATTAAAAAAAAACTGCATGTTTTATTAAATTGCACTCATTGTTAACTCAATTAAAAATATCATGACATTTCAACTGAATTTATATGCAAATGTGTATGTAACGGGTAAAAAGCTGTTGGTAGAGAAATATAAAAACTAATAAGGAGGCACGTGTACGAGTAGAGCCAAAATTTAATAAGTGCAACAATATATCTATAAAGAATTTATTTAAATTTATAGATATCACAGTGCGCACGTTCAATATGAAGAAAATAAATATTCTTCAGAACTCCAAAAGTCACTAATTTAGCAAAGAATGATGAGTCTCTAGAGTTTGTTATTTTCGCAAAATAGTTCGAAGAAATCTGACTAAGCAACTTCTGCGTAGAAATTGATCTTTCCATTGAATAATATAACATATTTTAGTTCATTACTTAAAGCTAATAATTTATTTGGTGATCTTTTTTATTAATTGATTGACAGTTTTGAAAGCAGCAAATGGGAATATATAAAATATAGCACTTAAAGTAAATATGTCTGAAAAAGAGAGAGCTCTTGTAAAGGAATTAATATTGTACATCTCGTCAGGTAGGCTTATTATCTTACGGATAATTAATAAAAAAGGTATAATACCTTATCACCACTAGTTTGTGAGTATAAAAAATTAAAATCTTTTTTCAGTTGTGCTTTCGTTAATGAATGTCAGTTCGGCAAAGGACATCAGTCAGGCCATAAGAGATAGATGCCACCGTACATATATACTCGCAGAGCTGGAGATGACAGGCAAAACGAAAACTCAAGCCGACGTGGTCGTGAGAGTTAATGATATTACTGACCAATATGCAACCGAATCCAAAGGGCTAATGGAACGAACCAAGTCAACAAGCATATACTAAAAGGAATGAAAGAGTGAAGCGGAGTGAGAAATATGGCTCTGGGCTGTAAAAGCAAAAATGTATTTTTTTAAAGGTTGACGTTGTCATAAGTGGCACTTGCGTTGCAAAATGTTGCCAGGCAAGCGTGTTAGGTGAGTGAATATACATACAGTTACATTAAAAA